ACTTTACTCGTCCCTTTAGTAGTTCAAAACTATTTAGTCAGGTGCGGTGGTGTGCACCTGTGTCTCCAGCCACTTGGGAGTGCCAAGTCAACCTGAGCAGCACAGAGAAACCATGTCTCAACACACACACACACACACACACACACACACACACACACACACCCTCATGCACGCATGCATGCACAGTAGCAATATTGAAGGAGGTACTACTCTGAGGTGGGTCCTATGCGTGCACTGAGAACACAGAGTTGAGTATTGTGAATGAGAATTACTGAACAGAAGTTGCCTGTCAAGGCTGACTGACTGATTAAAACGTCAATAACTGTGGAGAGATTGGAATGTTGCAGAACCAGAGCCTAATTACAATGTATCTTGCTCAATCTTTAGCCTACTGAATAGTTATTGTCTCACCTATGTGTCACCTAACAGCTTGCTCCTAGCAAGACCCAGCATCCTAACTTCAGATAAAAACCGTTGGAATGTATTAACTTGACCAAACCCTAAGTTTCCATCCACCAAACTGCTGAGTCATCAGATAGCATCTGAAGCCTGTAGCTGAGATTTCTCTGCTGTGCTGTAACTGCCACTTAATGTATCCACTGGTGTGGAATTTCAATCGTCTTTGTCTTAGAGTTTCTACTGCTGTGATGAAACACTGTGATCATAAACAGCTACGTGGGGGTGGGGGTGGGGGGCGCTTAGTTCAGCTTACAGTTCCACATCACTGTTCACTGATGAGGAAGACAGGGCAGGAACTCAAGGACAGTGGGAACCTGGAGGCTGGAACTGATACGGAGACGATAGAGGAATGCTGCTTACTGACTTTCTCCTCGTGGCATCCTCAGGCGGCTTTCTAATAGAACTCAGGACCACCAGCCCAGGGGTAGCAGCACCCACAATGAACAACGGGGCTTTCCACATCAACCGCCAATCAAGAAATCACAGCCCAGGCTTACCCAAGGGTCAATCTAGTGAGGGCATTTTCTCAGCTGAGGTTCCTTTTTCCCAGATGACTCCGGCTTGTGTCAAGGTGACATAAGAACTGGGCAGCACAGCCTTGATGGATGGCTTTCCTTTTTTTTTTTTTCCTGCTACTCTAAAACTTCATGAAACTGCTTCCACATTGGGGTAACCTAAGTCTGTGTTTCCAGGCTGTGGTCCCTCAAATTTGGTTCCAGAATAAACCATCCCTTATCCTCTTTGCATTGAGAGATGTGCTCTTGCATCCACACGGCAGTATGGTTCTTTGTCAGGGGCTCAGAGTACAGAATAGTAAGACAGGTTCATAAAAATCACACACAGCGAGAATGTTCTGGAAACCACGGGAAGCAATGGGAACATGTGACTTTATCTAGAGGAAGGAAGATATTTCCATACAAAACTATTAAAAGAAAAGCAATTTATATCTTTTAACTTATAGTTGTCAATTTTCAAATTTACATTTACTAGTAGCATAAAGTTGTGATGTGAATTTACAAGAGACCTGGAGAGACCATCTACCCCATAAAGGCTGATAGGCTCAATACTAGCCTTTTAAACTCAAAGTTTACAGCAAGGAAATGATGTATTCTGACCTAGCAAGGCTGATTTAGGCTGGCAAATGGTAAGATGAACCCCTTGTTTACCCAGAACTCATCAGAGGTTTCATTTTCAATTTGTGCAATGGCAGCATGGACTGAGAAGATGAAGTAATACTTAAGACACGAGGCTAGTTTTGCTCTGCCCAAGGCAGACTAAGAAAACCAAGTTGAGATGTTCAGAACTGCCGTTCTGATCAGTGCATGCTGGGTGAAGCACACAGCCATGGTGATAGGGGCAGAGTGGCTGGATGCGGATTATTTCAGCACCGTTGAATCCAAGGTAGCTGCACATGCAAATAAATGAGAGAATGCGAGGAGAGAGACATCGTGATAAACACAGAAATAAATTAGAAAATATTCCTCATAGAGAGATGACTGTCAAAACAAGTAGACTTTGAATCTAATGGGAGTTCTTGTTTAAAAAAAAAAAGAGATAAAAATCTCTTATAAACATCAGGTAACTTCAACTGAAGCATGAAAGCTTAAAACCCAATAGCTGTTAATGTAAGAACCCAGAAGGCTCAGAACGAGAAGACCTCCCTGTGAGATTGAAGGACTGGAGAGCCACTGGAGAGCCACTCCCTCCAGTCCACACTGAAGGTTGAGAGGTCTGCAGCCTGATGTCTGTGCGAGATGAGATCAGGAAAGCATGCGCCACTCAGAAACAGCTGAGCAAGTAGGTGTATGGGTGAGAACCGGCAGGCTTTGTTCCATCTGGGGTCGAGATGTAATAGATGCACCTCCCACATTCAAGCTGGGTCTTCCCCACTCAGGCCACTGACCCCCGCCAATCCTCTCTGAAAACACCTTCTCAAACTTACCCAGCAATGTACTCCACCAACGACTCAGGGTTTCTAAGAGTCTATCTATCTAGTCAAATTGACAACCAAGATTTACCACAGTGCCTGTGGTGAAAGTTTGAAGGCTTGCTAATTCATTACCTGGGAGGCTCAAGGAAGAAGAGGAGGAGCCTGCTTTTGGCTAAGGGGCCATTTATCTCTTGCTAAAGTATGGGTAGGGTATTCCCTCAAGGAAGGTGAGTGCAATGCCATGATTTTTATTTTATTTTATTTTTATTTTTATTTTTTTTGGTCACTTAAACAAGACTTGGAAGTCCAAGGGTGAGGAGACATCCCCTGAGCTACACCACCAGTTTCTTCTCAGTGCATTGTAACATGGTAGATAGGCAAGCCCTCACAAGAGACAGACATCAGTCCTGCCTCGGGGGACTTTTATCAGGAACTCACTGCCTGGGTGAGAGGACCCTTGTGACCTAATACCTCACATGGGTCCCTCCTCCCAGCACTGTTTCCATAGCAATTAAATTTCAACTTGAATTTAGAAGGAACATTGATCCATAGCATGGGATTACACAGTTGTCTGTTGTGTCGCCAAATCCCTCAAAACCTAATGACAGAAAACAGTACCATGAAGTTCATGGATTCTATGGAATCCCACTGGTGGGTACATTATACAGCTAGGCTCCACCGTCCTTCCCTACATGCAGTATCCTGTATCCTACACTGGAATGTTGTAAATCTGGAAGTGCCCACAGCACACTCTGACAATGGCAGTGATTCAGGAGAGTGGGTGTGGCTGTGTTGTGAGTTGGACAGTAGCTACTTCTGCTGCTCAGCTCAGAAAGAGGCACCTAAGGGGAGTGGGTGGGCGATGCCTTACATCCAGAGACGCTTTCTTGGGCACCTGAAGCACTTGCGTCAGCCGGTACTTCTCAGTGGAATTATAGATCAGAGATCTATACTTGTAGCCAACACAACCTTTCTATGATCTCTCCCTCTCCCCCTCCCTGCCTCTCCCCACCTCCCACCCCCACACACATTCACACACAACCATTTCCTATGTGTTGTACAGAAGTTTAGCATTCAAGTCAACACAAGTGTAGTACAGTTGCATCCGCAGCAGAAACAAAGAAACGAACAAAAGTGAGCAGAGCTAGGGAAAAAACCCAACCTCTTGGTAGAATGTGAGCCTCTGAACCCAGCCATCCCTTTGAGTTCTAGACATCAATACATTCCCTTAAGTTGGGTATCTCTCTATTATAAACACAGAGATCTTGTACAAAAACTAAAACCAGGAAGTGTGCTATAAATCTAAACCTAAAATATGAAACTGGATAGTTTAAAAAAACAACAACAACCTGGAATTCTTGTTATATGAAAATGAAACCGCTGGTTACCAGTACCTCTTGTGCGTTAGATAGTGCCTCCACCACCCCAGACATGGAAACATCACGGACATGGTGAAACTGTATGAGGATAATTCATCTTGCACTGGCATAGCTCTGTGGCCCAGAGTCTTGTCAAGCACATCCACCTCTGCAGCCTGTGTTTAGTGAGGGTCAGAGCCTCCCCTGTGATCAGCGTGGGCTATCCCTGGAGATGAAGGTAGATACTGACTTCCATTTTTCTAAAAGATGGACCAAGACTAAAGATGTAAATCTCAATCCCAGGAAACAGGCCTCTCCCTGTGATTGGTCCCGGGGGACTCAAATGTCAAGGATGCACATACTGATCCAGAGAGGCTGACTTACTACGACCTTTAGCACTCCATATTGACCAAAGGAAGCGAATCTCAATGGTATTTATACTCAGACTAGCCACAGGAGATTTCAGGCAAATGTACAGGCCCTTGGCAGCTGGATATTGTGAGTGTGCAGTTAGTTCTTAGGCCCTGTGACTAAGAATGAGTTCCCAAAATGCTACACACTCCAAGGCAAGCTTCCTGCTCACCTCTTAGGCACGGTGATAAGGCAATGGGCAGAGAAGGAGCCCCTCCCAGTAAAAAGGCTCTGGATCATGCAGCTGGACTCAATAAGGGTCCTAGTCCACGGCAAGAGAGAGGAACCCCCTGACAGACCTCTAGGTTCCTGATTCTGTGACCCTTAATACAGTTCCTCATGTTATGGTGACCCCGACCATAAAAATTATTTCATTGCTACTTCATAATTACAAATTTGCTACTGTTATGAATCATTATCATAATATAAATATCTGATATGCAGGATATTTGATATGTGACCCCTAAAGAGGTCGAGATCCACAGGTGGAGAACCACTGCCCTAGAAGCTGCTGCCTCAGCCTGTCACCCAGCTTCCAATATGGTAGTCATCCTCCCATCCTTCTTTAAGGCCTGCCCGCTTTCCCTCCCTACCAACTTCTCTCCAGGAGGGGCTGGGATGGGGTCACTCTCTTACCTCTTGCTTTCGGTAAATCTTCAGTTCTTCTATCTGCTTTACAATAACTCAACCACAACATATATCCTACATAAAGAACCCTTATCACAAGGGATCCTTTTTTAATTCTTAATCCTTCAGGGGTCCTGTAGAGGCCATACTTGCCCACAAGCAAGGGTGACCATAGAGGCTTATGTGTGACCACACAGACAGACATGAAGCAAAAGGAGAGTCTCATGGAATGTTTATTTTAGATACCATTTTCATTTGGGCTTTAATCCTCACCTCTGCTTTCCATTCTTTTCTGGGAATTCCAAACTGTTTCTTTTAAACAAAATATTATTTAAATATGAGTCTCTGAAGTCATGAGAGACTTTTCTTCTCTCCAAATGGGAAGGACACACGGCTTCTATTGTTATGCAGCATTTTCAAACACACATGTCAATATGTATTTTATAGACTACTAAAACATAAAACCCTTTATCCTTTGAGGTTATTGATGTACCCTAAGTCACCAACACATCTCACAATACAGTAACTTCTATTCATTTTCACGATGGAGGTGGGAACTAGACTAAAAAAGAGCATTTTAATCCCTGAGGTGTCAGTTAAAATGCAGAGGTTGCCAAGATAATTTTCGTCTTAAAAATTAGCTTTAAATAATTAGCATAGATCATGCTATCTCAATCAAAACCACTTCCACTGCCCGGAATCCTTTAGAAAATTGCATTTTCTGGGTTAAGTTCACCCTGATATCCTCAGCTCTCTAGCTATGAGATTTTTTTTTTCCTTTTGTAAAGGAATTGCACAGTGGTAAGTCTGCGCAAACTTCTGAGCGCCTCAGAAAGTAAGAAGGTCCATCCATCCTTTCAGCTTATCACATCGCTGTCACGTGGTTAAAGAGGAAACCTCAGCACCATTCCAAGACCTGGAAAGGTTGGGCTTGTGTGCCCATGTGGGTGTCAAGACCTGGAAAGGCAGATGCCCCTGCTTGGATTGTCTATATCTCCAGAGGTAAGAGTCTAAAGCAAACCCCCATGCCCTTGGGAAAGCAGGCCGGCCCTGTGCTTCTCTACAGACACATTAGCAGAGCTGGCTTCCGTTTACGCACACCGTCCCTGCCTGCAGAACCCACTCTTTTCCTGGCAGCCTGCAGAGGTTCTGGGGTCCTAGTAGTAGCGGTTTAGGCTCCTGGTGCCGGGCACCTCGGGCTGCCCATTCATCCAGATCTCCCTGATGATGCGCTCGCGCTCCTCCAACCGCTGTGCGCGCTCCAGCTCCTCTGCAGAGGTGAACACGTTCTTGTTCAGAGTCCTCTCGAATCGGCGGTGTCTGCGCACCGACAGGTCCGAGGCTGTGTCCTCGCTGCCATCCTCACTGTCGCTGCTGTCGCTGCTGCTCTCGTGGTCCTGCAAGCACCTCCTCCGTGGACCCCGCTGGCAGTCAGTGTGGCAGGAGATCCTCATCACCAAGGCAGCCAAGGTCAGGAACAGGCCGATGCACACACCAGAGACGAAGTACAGAGCGGCTCGCTCAGGGTTTTCTGCAGGGAGAGGAAAGAGAAGGCTTTGTACAGGAGCCATGTCTCCATGCAGGGTCAGGGACGCTGGCCCATGCTCTCATCAGGCACTGAGCTTGGATGGCAACCAGTACCAGCCTTCCCAGGAACAAATGTCATAATGTTTACAAATAGTATGGCTTGTGCCTATA